GGATGGAGGGTTTGAAACATCCCTCCTCCTGCTCGGGATGGGGATTTTCTGTCATCCAGCCGCAGTGAACATGGTTTGGTTTGGAAAGCAAGATGCTGAATTTAAAAAGAAACTTGGCAGGGAGGGAAATATTGTTTCCTCAATTCCTCCCACCTCCTTGAGGCTGTATCTTCAGTTCAAAGGAACAGCCTCAGCTACACTTAGGTACAGCAAGGGACAAAGCAAGTCCTGGGAAGGACTAAAAAGGAACAACCTCCTTTCCCCCAATTTAAAGCTCTTAAAAATATTGTATTTTTATAGCAGCACCTTATGTAGGCAGCTGTCTGACCCTGCAACTCACAGCAACACCACAGAGGATGGCAGCAGCGAGACACAAAACCATAACAACCCTCTCAAGAAACCTTTTATCAGCCAAACAACCAATTTCTTTCTTTAAGCTTCTAGTTTTGGGGGTTTTTTTAAAGAAACCTTTTATCAGCCAAACAACCAATTTATTTCTTTAAGCTTCTATTTTGTTTTAATTTTAATCAGCCAATGTGAGTTCAGAGCTCAATACAAGCAACTCACCTCAGCCAGTCAAAGTGCTTCTGAGCTTCAGTCCCTCCTCATGTCCTTCATTAAATTAAGGAGCTCCAGGTCTTCACAAACAAGGATCTCAGCAGGGCTGCACGTGCTGGACTCTGAATTAAATCAGGGAAATTCAAGCACCTGAAAATTGTAATCATGGACCAAGGCATTCCTTTTTCTCAGAGAAGCCAGAGTTTGGCATTTGCTAATCACTGAGTGTTTAATTGAAACCAGGCTACTGGCAAAATCTGCCCCAAACTTCCTGCTCAGGAGCTCTTTAGTTTACCTTTATCCTACTAAAAAAAATTAATAATAATCAAAGCAAATAGATCTGCAGGTATCAGGAGTCTCAAGGGGAAAACTCTCCAGGTTTTTACCAGCAGAGACTGCTGAGGGATTAATTTTACACCTTTATGGTTCTCTAATAAAGCCCAGAGGAGCAAAGCAAAAGGCATGGGACATTATTTTTAAGGAGTTCAAAACTTTGGTCCAGTTCTTGATCCCCATTTTTCTTCTTTTATTTTTTTTTCCCCTTCTCATTTTAATTTTTGTCCTGTGCTGTTGTTTGTTATTATTATATAATTAGAGAAGTTAAAATAGAGATTAAAACACACCTGTCAGGTATTCCTTAAAATTATCCATAGAAAGAGAGTCTTAAAAAACCCAAAAAGACAGTTCAGGCCCATTATTACCTGGAAATTGGTTTCATTCACAGGTGTTTCCTCTTGAACCATTCACACTTCATCCTTCTCCTCTGACCCAGCATCCCTAAAATATAAAGAAAGGGATGAGTTTTGTTTAGAGCTTGGGGTTTTGGTGGAGGAACATGGGAGTTCAGGGGTTTTTCTGGCACAGGCTTTTTCTAGGAGCTTTTATGCTTTGCAGAATCCATCCTTTAAAGGTAAGAAGTACTTAATTGTTAGGCTGAACCTCTCAAAATGTGATAAAGTAGTTTGGTAAAACTAATCTTAATAGTAGATGATATTTTGAGAGGCTGGTTTAGAGATTGGAACCCTTTTCTAAATCATCTGCTGGCTGCTTTGAGAAGAGGCACTGGGACAAATCTTGGTGGTCTCTGTGTAGTTTGCACACACATCTTTAGAGAGTAAGTTGAGTGAATGTTTGTAAGGATAACTTGTTGCTGAGTTTTTATGTGAGCAGGTAGGAAAGGCCTTTCCCTGAGTCAGGAAGATGCCAGTGTAAGAAGCTACTTATAAAATGGCACAACCTCTTTCTTCCTGTGGCTAGCTTGGGTGCAGCTCAGGCTCGTATTTGGGTGGGAGGTTTCATTCCTGAGGAGTGAGCAGTGTTCACATTATCCTTGTGCAGGGTGCTGCTTTCCTCACTTAACCACTAAAGATCAGCACAAGCCATTCTGCCCTGTCCTGATATTCTAACACTTACCAGGAGGGACCCAATTTATTTTTATCCCTCCTTCTAAGCTGTTGTTTTGCACTGTAGTGGGTGGTTTAGCAGCAGAAGTGGATGTGTATGTTGTTGTTTAGTGGTAAATGAAATTATTCCTATTTATACCTTGGATGTTAATGCACCTGGAATACTGCAATATATAAAATAAGTCAGTATTGTTTCATTCTTGTTTTATTTTCCTTTGAAAGTGCTCTTCCACCCATCAATTAGCAGATGGGATGAGGCAGAGTGCTGGGGAGATGAGGTAGTGAAAAGTGAGCTCTTCAGTATGTCTTGCTGGGAGCCCATGCTGCTGCAGACAAACAGCTTTTGTTTTCCTCTCTGCCCCAGTATGTTTTTTGTAATATTTTTGGTGTGAATGTACAGGGTAATGGTACCTCTAACATAAAGAAAATAGGAGAGCAACTCAACCAGGAGTACGAATTTCTGAGCAGCCAAAACTCCTCCATCTGAAACTCAGAAAACACCTTGCCTGGGGGGATTTTTTTTTGTTAAAGATCCTGAGTTGTGCTCCCATCCTTTCATGTGGATCCCAGGGCAGGTGGGTCTGTGGGTGTCATCCACCTTGGGGCAATTCAGTGCAAAGGAAAGTCTGGCATGAATTAAATCAAATACACGTGGTCTGCCCATGGAGACCTGCAGCTTGTGGCTGGAATCCTCTCAGAGCTCTCATCTCTCATTTATTTTTAAAAAAAAAGTTGTGTGGAGATGTAATTCAAGCTTTAGTTAGACAGCAAGTTTCAGATCCTTGGCACCCAGGGCCCTGGAGATGGTCAGTTTAATAGGGATTTTATAAATGAATTTCAAGGGAATTGTATTTTTCAGTATAACTTGAATAAATGAACCCCTGGAGATGGTCAGTTTAATAG